ACAGTTGGGTGTTTTTTTTTTAGTTACTGTCATCCTCCTCCTCAGTGCTCTTTCTTCTCCTCCTCTCTTCATAATTTCACCTTTAACAAGTTTTAGGGGATCAGATAGCCGCATCCCGGCTATCATAACAGTAATTTCGGCTCAGCTCCTGAGAGCTGAAGAGAAAGTAAACAGTAATCATTCAGCCACAGAAAAATGCTTCCTCCAGCTGTTCTGTAGGATTGTCTGATAAAACTTGCCATATGAAGTCTGAACATGGTTCAGACCCACCTGGTGCTCCTTTCATAAAATGCAGTTTGTGATTTAGGAAGTCTGTATGAGCTTGTAATAAATGCTCTGATGTTGCTGATCAGTAGACTTTTTACTTGAATAGCAAGGACTGAAGACGTTTTATAAAAATAAAATTTCAGGTTAATATGTCCCATTCATACTTAATGAGTCACATCTTCTGTGACCGGAATCTTAGAACACACACTAAAATTAGGTGTTTTTTACCCTAAAGATCTAAAGTATTTAAAATATTGGTATAGTTTAGTAGATGTGCACCAAAATCTTTCCCAAATAGTTTTCAAACAATACTAGTAGATACTGTTTCAGAAATCCTGGGCACCATTTCTGGTGGGTTTTTTTTCCCACCTGCAACTCAATACATACTTGATTCAGCATATTTAAGTAAGGCAGTGCAATTATACTCTACAAGAGACTACGATCTTAGTTACACCCCAGAGTAGTCATACCAGAAACCCAAGAGTTTATTGGCAGCTACATGAGAAATAGTCATAGCTAAAACAGATTGGAATTTGTTAGAAAAAAGACCTTCAAAGTCAAATTATCCCAATGAATTTCTTTGTCTCTCTATCTACCTACCTATTTTTCATACAGAATCTCTTTACATAGCCAGGCTAGCCTTGAACTCGCAGAGATCCACCTGCCTCTGCCTCTCAAATGCTGTGATTAAAGGTGTGCAGCCCTATGCCTGGCTCCAGTGAATCTCTTAAAGAAAAATGCAAGTGATTTAGTACCATTTTCTTTTTAAAATATTTTTGGCTTATGAGATATGACACTATTTCTTAAGCTGAGGACTACAGGCATGCTTCGGGATTGTGAATTTTCTATAGTAACTTCTACTTAGAATGTTTTATTTTTATGTTAAACTACTAACATTCTAAATGTTTTGAACAGATTGTTTTATCCAAACATGCTGCTATACAGGTTTAGTTTACAAAGTTGGATTTGTTTTTATAATTGTTAATACCAAGTACTTTGATTTTGTTATGGATTACTAACATATCAGAAGTGTACTATTTATGTGTTAGATGTTTTGTAACACAGAATTGTCTCAGGGGAACAGAGGAATAAGTATTGTTAGGCTCATGGTTTCAAATGTATCAGTCCATAATTACTTGAGTGTTTCTGCACCATGGAGAGGCAGAAAATCATGGCATTAAGGACATAAGTCAAAATGATTCATCTCAGAGAAGCCAGACGTGCCTGAGACAACAGGCATTCTCTCTTCTCTCTCTTATTTTATCCAGACCCCCTGCTATTGGATAGTGTCATTTATATTTAGGGCATGTGCCTCTTCTGTAGTTAATAATTTCTGTAAATATCTGAACAGATGCACAACATCAGGGCCAAAGATGTAGCTCAGTGTTAGAGTATTCACCTAGAGTGTGTTTGATGCTCATCACTATTTAAAAATTATTAAAAATTAACTCATGCCAAATCATTGTAAAATAATATATGACCTGCTATGAAAGAGTTTAAAGCAGCTCAGTTGATAAAAGTGGTGAAAAAAACACGAAGTACAAACACACCAACCTTGAAAGAACTTGGCTCCAAACCCATATCAATATTGTTATGTTATAAAAATTCAAATATTACTTAAATTACAGGATTTCTAAATTGAGTCTTAAGTGAGGGTCAGGAAAAATTTTGATAGTATGTACATTATTTAAGTGAAAAATGCTTATTTGTATATTGACCTTTAATAGTCTAATCCAAAAGAACTTTCATCTTCATAATTTTCCTTACTCTCCAATGAGCCTCTTTTAACATTTATATAGACATTAACACGCTTTGATTTTTATTTTTTTTTGTGTATTTGTTTTTTGTTCATCACGTATGTATCGGATAAAAAGGATGGAGTGTGTGTTATAAGTTTTTATAAAGACTTACTCAATGAAGGTTGAATTGATGAGTGGGTGGAAAGCTAAGAATATCTTAAATGCTTTGTGATAGTCAATATGGACAGGGAAACAAGATTATTCTTCCGTGGCTTACATATAACAGATTAAAATTATTTGCATATTAGGTGGCATTAGTCAAAATCAGTTACAAGTGAAGACTTAATAAATAAAAAATAAGTTGTATAAAGTTATCAAATAATTATTAGGATTATTAAGTACACATAACAAGTATGTTCATACCCTTTGTCCATGTCATTCATCTTAAGTAAGTCAAACTGTTTTGTTCAGATAAAGTTTGGAAATCTTTTATGGTTATTATAACCCTGTACCACCCATGAGTGATGGGCGGCACAAAAGACCTCATCTAGTTTCTTCTTTACTTACCATCATTAGGGAGTTACTTCACAGGCCAGTTCTTTCTGTTGGGATTTTTCTTCTGTATTTTATTCTTCCTGTTCTATAAGGTCTGTTTACATTGGAATTCTACCTCCTGCTTCAGGTTTCCTTACTGAACGTGGCAGTTCTCAGATTTTATGTGCTAACTGCCCAGATGGCTGTGTCACATCAAGGTTTCCTTAAAGCTCTGAAACTGTTTTCTCTATCTACCCATGATTTAGAAGATTTATTTCCCTGTGATCTTATAGCTACTTTAAAATGAGTCCATTTTCTATTAAAGGTTAAATTGATCATTCATTGCCTAGAAACAACACCATCAAGTTATTTCCTGTGTATATCCTTTGGAGATGGCAATTCTAGACTTCATATTTTAGTCAAAGATTTCCAGTATCATGTAGGTTATTCATTAATTAGAAAAAATCCATTAACTTTGCAGTTGCTTATATCACAGCAGGTTTCTAATGATTTTAGTGTCGTATGCCTGGAGCTTTCCACAGGATAGATAACATTTGGTTCAGAGAGATGGAGATTGAAAACTCGATGTGCAGGTTAAAATAGGCACTGGATACACTGACTATTCAGCGTCGACTTTTGTACAATTACACTCACACGTTTCACTCTTGTGTGTATTATAGAATGGAGTCACGTGAATTCACTATTCACATTCTTTTTAAAGTTGATCTCTTTGCCTAATGTCAAAATTTTGTTCAGCTCTTCTGATAGTTTAGTAGATAATCTTCCAGGTGTACTCCAGGAAATATTTGATGCAGTAACATGTTCTGGAAAGAGATTATCTGGGAATTTATTGTCTTAAGAGTGTCTAGAAGAGCACCATGAATGCAAATTAGAGAGAATAATTGCAATGTTAATAGATAGGTAGTAGTCCTGGTGGCTCTAGCCCTGCAGTGGTTCTCAGAGCTCACCAGGAAGTCCATTATGAAGATGAGAAGAGAATAATGAAACTAAAGGAAGTCCGGAAGCAGTGGCACAGGTCTGTGATTCAGCACTGCTACAGTAAGATGGGAAGTAGAGGAAAGAGAAAATCCCCACAGGACAACTAGCCTCAAGAATGCAGCGCTGTGGGATGTGAGAGAAACTCTGCCTTAAACAAGATGGAAATGAACCAGTACCTGGGGTTGTCCTCTGACCTCCACATTCACACTGTGGCACATGTAAGCCCTCACACACAAATATGCATTTCACATTGTGCGCGTGCGCGCGCACGCACACACACACACACACACACACACACACACACACACACACAGACACCACTAAAGGAAAAATAGAAGGCTTCTCTGGCCTTACCAAACCTTCCCCCTACTACATAAATGCAAAACATCTTCTGTAGATAACTACTACCTCTTCATGAACTCTGAAATTTGCGTTCATTATGTCCCTAATTTATCTTTGAGCTGACTTTTATTTCAATAAATAAACTGTGGAGCTCAGTGTGAAGATACTAATTTTGTAACTGAACAGGAATGCTTTGCCCCACTGTTTTGCACTGAATACCTATTAGCTGTTGGACTTTGGCAATAATAAAGCAGTTTCAGTCTTATGCATGCATCTATACAGACAAAAGTAAAGCTTTATAGGACAGAGGTTTATATAGTATTTGTATATAATACCTAGAGCACTTAGAGTTGTCGCCATCTCAATAGACAGTTTTAAATTACCTTGTAGAATGCTTCCATTTTCAAAGTAGATACCTACTCATAGTTTTATAAGTATTAATTATCAGTACATTCTCATTTTGAGTTTGTGTGCATTGTGGTTTAATAAAGATATCTTCAAATAAAGTTCAATTTTCTGCTACTGAAAAAGATCTTAAGTTTCTTCTGCGTAAAACAGAAATATATACTTATTTGCATTGCTGAATTCAGAATGACAGATAGTGAAGTTGATCTCTTAGAAATAGTGATGAGAATGGTGGGTACCAGAAGAGGAGGCTTTGTGAGAAGGAAGGGTGCCGGGGAAGGCTGGGAAGGTTGATTAATGGGCACTATATGTCACATATGAGAAGGAAGCTCTGAAATACTGTCACACAGTGTGATCTTAAAGGACAATAATGTACCACCGTTACTAATGCTGGAAGAAAAGATTTTACACGGCTTTATAATTTAGAAATGATAAACCGGATTTAAATATTTTCAGTGTACATATGTATCAAAAATCACATTGTTTCCATTATTATCTACAACTTTTATATTGTCCATTGGTCAAAAATTTAAAACTAGACACAGTAAATTTATACTTATAATAGACACTTAATAGTGATTGTTATTATTTTTAATGATACATTATTTCCTATCACATATATAAATATAACTTATGTAGTGTGACATGTGTAAGGAAAATGTATTGATCAAATGAAAAATTTAGATATTTTAATTGTAATTTTCTTTCTTTCAGAATTACTTACTGTCATCTACCTTTCCAGAGTAAATGGCTCTATGTTGGAACAGAAAGAGGAAATACACATATTGTAAATATTGAATCTTTCATTCTTTCTGGATATGTCATCATGTGGAACAAAGCAATTGAACTGTAAGTTTGAACTTGGTTGTCATTTTATTTGACTAAAATATTGTATATATTACATGACCTGTTTGGATTATAATGCAATTAACTTAAATAAAATTGAACTAAAATAAAACCACAGGTAATTTAAAAATAGATATAGATGTATCAATGTATTTTGTACATTACAAATACTGTGAATAATAAAAGCTTACAAATATCAACCATAGTAATAAAATATAGCACTATAAAATGATATTGTAATTAACATTAACATAATCATAGTGAAAATGGATTGTTTTATATGAAAATAATAACCAATAGACATTATTATTAATGATAATAATTTATCTGTTGCCTTGTTAGAATATAGTTCTCAGAACAAAGAGAAGCAATTACTCAATCTCCTTCATGTTTTGACTAACAACTTGAACTTTTTGTTTTATTTCATTATTTTATGTGTATGGGTGTTTTGCCTGCATGTTGGGTCAGTGAACAATATGCCTGCAGGGCCTGTGGAGGCCAGAAGAGGGCACCAGATCTCTCGGAACTGGAGTTAGGGGTGGTTATGAGCTGCCATGCAGGTCCTTTAGAAAAGAGCAGGCAGGGCTCTTAACTTCTGAGCTATCTCTCCAGAACTACTGCTTTAGCTTTGGCAGTAGTATTTAAACTACTGCACATGTAAAATGGGAAACGTTTCAAATCTACAGTCTTATACACTTCAAGTATCTATTTGTCTAGTGCACACATAAACATAGTTTGGGTCTGTTTTTTTTTTTTTTAGCTTTTTTAAAAACTTTTTTTTTTTTTTAAATTTTACATGCCAATCCCAGTTTCTTCTTCCTCCTCCCCTCCTCCTCCCTCCACCTTTACCCTACCCCACCCCACCCCACCCAATCCACTTCTCAGAGAGGGTGAGGTCTCCTACTGCAAGTCAACAGTCTTATCACACTGAGGAAGGACCAAGCTCTCCCCAACCTCCCCTCCACCCAGTATCTAGGTATCCCTCCATAGCGAATGGGCTCCAGAAAGCCACTTCATGCACTTGGGATAAATACTGACAGTGGCCCCAGAAACTGCCCACCCCTCCCCCACCGCCATCAGTTCAGAGTCAGTGAGCTCTGGCTAGCTGTCAACTGTCTCTGTGGGTATCCTCATCATGATCTTGACCCCTTTGTTCATGTTATTGCTCCTCCCTCTCTTCAACTGGAGTCCAGGAGTTTGACCCAGTGCTTAGTTGTGGATCTCTACATCTGCTTCCATCATTTACAGGATGAAGGTTCTATGATCTGATCACAGGGGAAGGGCACTTCAGGCACCCTCTCCACTATTGCTTAGGGTCTTAGCTGGGGTCATCCTGTGGATACTTGGGAATTTCCCAAGTGCCATGTTTCTCCCTAATCTCACAATGGCTCCCTCTATCAAGATATCTTTTTCCTTGCTCCCCCTCTCTGTCCTTCCCCCAACTCAGCCATCCAGATCCCTCAAGTTCTCCTTCCCCTTCCCTTTGTCCCCTTCCCTTTGTCCCCTTCCCCTCCCCATCCATCCTCCCCCTTGTCCCCCATGCTGCCAATTGACTCTCTCCAGGGAGATCTCTGTATTACCCTCTTTTAGTCTATGTTTTAGTAAGAAACAGTTTTATTTGTTGCTAGTTTTATACATGTTGAGTCCTCATTTTCCTACACATTCTGTTAACTCACTGAAGTGTTCTTGTTTTTTTTTTTTTGTTTGTTTTTTTTTTTTTTTTTTTTCGAGACAGGGTTTCTCTGTAGCTTTGGAGCCTGTCCTGGAACTCGCTCTGTAGACCAGGCTGGTCTCGAACTCACAGAGATCCGAACTCACTGAAGTTTTAATTAAAACACTATTTTAATGAATCTTAAATCTGTTTAGGTAACAGTTATTTCTCTAATCTCAATGATTTTAATTATACTAGTATTTCCAAAGTGCATTCCATAGAATTTAATTCTATGATTAATATAAATTTAAATATCAACTCCCAGTTTCCTAAATTGTCTTTTAATCTCTCTCTACTCCTTAAGATACATTAGAAATATCTATCTCAGAATTTTTTCTAAGTTATGTTTTGCTAGTGGTACTTTCTGAGGTTTTGGAAGTTAATGTTAGAGAAACAGACAAAAAATAAGCCAACATGTTAATAGTCATTATCTTTAAGTAGGAAAAAGGCAGCATAAAATATTTCCCCTTAACTCTTGAGATACTATAAAATAATTACTTTTATACTCTAAAATTTCATTACAAATAGCAATTTAATGTTGAATAATCTTCTGAACCAAACCACTTTTATTGTATAGTAAGGCTCTAAGTGGAAGAGTCTAACATATGGTCAAACCTGTATTTCCAAAATATATTCCTCTAACATGATTTTATGACATATCAATAGTCATAATTGGAAACAATTGAATATATGGTTGTATTTGCATGCAGACTTACTATGCATTTTTAATAGGTAAAATATTTTACATTGTTTAGAGTTTCCAAACTTTTTGATTATGGATTTTTCTTTCTATGAAACGTCTTGTTTTCACTGGTTTATCATGCAATACATTTTAACAATTGTTGTTCCACCCAAATCCAATAGACAGATGGCAGTTTTGGTTTATTGACTTACTATTTATTAGAGAATAATTAAGAATACTATTCTTTATAAGGAGCATTTATCTTTCTAGAACACGACAATAATATTTAAGTATTTATTACATATAAGTATTTATTACATATATAGAACTAAAAAAACTCTATAAACTGTTCTTTGTAGCCTTGTTTAATTTCTTTGAGAATATATTCTTGAATATAAATAATTCTGATTTTTAGGTAGAACAGTGATCTCAAACTATTGAATGTGATCTATCTTTTGCCATTAAATTTTGATATATATATATATATATATATATATAATCTGAAAAAATATTTTTTCGATAAAGGTCAGTGGTACTATATCCAGTTTTAGATGAGAAAATACACTATCAATTGGGTGAATGAATCAATTCACAAAATTTCCCAGTATCTAATCTATATAGTAGTCCTTTGATTCACTTTGAGAAATCACTGTAAGAGAAGCCTAGAATGACTGACCACTTTACAATAGTTCCTAGGATTTAAATAGTCCTTACTTTCTGTGAGGGCTCTTTGTGGATTTTATGTGTCCTTAAGAAATAAAGTAGAACTGTGCCAATTCCGCTTAGCCCTACAACACTGGAGTGTATTCAAGCTTAATTTTAATTTTGTTGTCATTCTCTGGTGCCTAGTTTTAAATTATTGCTATTAATTTAACAGATCCACCAAGACTCATCCAGGCCCAGTTGTTCATTTAAGTGATAGCCCAAGAGATGAAGGGAAAGTAAGTACGCTGCATCATTCTCACTTTGGTTTTCCTTGTTTTTAGAAAAAGATGTTTTAAACTGTTTCTTGAGATTTAACATCTTAATTGGTTTGTAGCATTCAGTGGCATCTAAAAATAATACTTAAAGTATGAATGAGCAAGTAAACAAATAAATGGATATTGTTGCTACTAATGCTTTAAGTTTTTAGTTCGCCTAAAACTAAAATTGAATCTTAAATATGCACTGTTGAAGGTTACAGAGCAGATTTTATTTCTAAATATATGATTTACCTTAGTAGTATGATTAACTTTGTAATTAATCATGTATTTGTTATTTGGCTTTGGTATTAATGAAGTCATAACTAATATCCAGTAATACAAATTAGATAATTTTGATTTTCTTTTAAGTATACATTAATATAGAAAATATTTGCCATTTCATTGGGATAAAGTCCAAGGGATTAGTGAAACCCACCTTCGAGTGTTTCTGTGCTGGAGTTTCTAAAGATGGTTAGAAAATGAGGCCTCTGACTTGCTCAATGGAGCAGTCCCTGGTCGGGTGGGAAAGGTAGGAGATAGAGTCTAGTAGCTCACAAGGGAGTTCTTGGGTCTATTTCTCCCCTGGCCTCTTTCTAGATGTAATTTCTTTGCTTTATGGCCTTCCCTGACATGAAAAGCTCAGTTCCTCCTCATCCTCAAGATTAATAAGGACTAACTGTTTGAAACTATATATCATAATAAATCTTTTCTCCCTTTAATTGATCTCCTAGATATTTTGGTCACAGCTATGCATATGTAGCTAACACATTATTAATTATAAAAAATCATGATTATTTCATAATTTCCCTTTGATAATGAAATAGTTGGTAGCTTGAGTTCTAAAACATTGTCTTTATGGATATTTTGTCAAGTATGTAATTCTTAGTAAGTACCATAAAAATTATAATGATATTTTTTACTGTAGTTTTACATTTTTTGTGAATTATTTATTTTTAAAGGATAGGAATTGTGTAGTCTAACAAAGATCCAACATGGAAGGCAAGTTCAACTGATGAAGCAATATTAGGTACATCTAAATTGATCTATAAATAGAATGTAAAGCTATTTGTCGGAGTTTATTTCTTGTTGACGAAAGCTTATGAAGCTTCAATGTATAAAAAGAACTACAGTTAAGGAAAGCTGAGAGTGGGAGAAACAGTCTTCCCCAGGCAATAGCGTACCAACTGGTTGTTCAATACCTAGTGGTCAGTCCTTAACACACACATAAGTGACATTATGCAGACTGAAAGGGTTGATCATAATGTGCAAAACTGTACATAAGTATCAAGGAATATAGATATAGATATATGCACACACAGACAAACTCCCATATGCATGTAACAACCGTTAATGAAAACTGAGGCCATTAATTCAAAATAGAGGAAAAGGGTATATGGGAGGGTTTGGAGGGAGAAAAGGGAAGGAGGAAATGATGTAATTATATTATAATCTCTAAAACAAATTTCAAAATAAATTGTCCTAGATCTTTAAAAGGCAAATGAGGCAAGCTTTTTCTGAAGTAAATAAAGTTCTATTTCATGTGCAGGTATAGTTTCTACTGGGATGTAGAAGAAGCACCCTCATTGGCAGTCAGGGAAATGTAGTTACAACTTTCTCATCAGGCTGGCAAATATTAAAAATAATAGTACTAGATAGTGGAAAAGGCCATGCAGCTATGCAGACATAACTAACACATCATAATATTATAAAACTATCCCAATTATTTCATAATTTGGATTAGACATGCAAATATATAGGCACAGAAAACAATGTTATTAAAATAAGACACATGCTTTAAATAATTTGACTTACACAGCAGAAAAAAAAATGACATCTTGAAAATTACAGGCAAATGGATGGATCTAGAAAACATCATATTGAGTGGGGTAACCCAGACCCAGAAAGACAAATATCATATGTACTCACTCTTAAGTGGCTTTTAGAGAGACATACAAGGATCTAATCCACATGGGAAGTAGAAAAAGACAAGATCTCCTGAGTAAACTGGGAGCATGGGGACCATGGGAGAGAGTTGAAGTGGGGAGGGGAAAGGCAGGGCGGGGAGCAGAGAAAATGTATAGCTCAATAAAATCATTAAAAATATAGTAAAAAATAATAATTTGACCTAGATAATCTTCAGATATCCACACTTTATGTGAATAAGGAATAATATGTCTATTAACTGAAAGCTAAATAAATGAATGTTGATACACAGATAATGGATAATTCACTAAGGCACACTTTAAAAGAAAATTCCAGAGCAGTGAGGCATTAAACTATGTGAATAATGCACCTGTATTTGTATGTGTACTACATACTTTAAAATATTTCTCATAAAAAGTTCACATCCTTTATGTTAACTTAATTCTATATACTGATTTAGATTTATTGCTGTTAGGAGTTAACTTTTTTACATTTAGTTTGTGTGGGAGTGGGGCATGCATCTGCCATGGGTGTGTGTGGAAGTCAGAAGGCACCTTGTGGGGTTGGTCTTCTCTCATAAATTCTGGGAATTGAACTCAGGTTATCAAACTTGGCTGCAGGTACCTTTACCTGCTGAACACATATTGCTGGCCTCTGACTTAATTTTCATTAAATCATTTTGATAATAGCTGATTATTGTTAGTATATAAAATACTGTTTTATTAAATGGCAGCATCATTGAATGTTTTGTTTTTAGTATCTGTTCTTAGATTCTCTGGTGTAAATTACTTATTAAAGTCTAACAAATATAGCTTTTGCTTCTTTTTCTACATAGAGAGTTATATGTATCTTATGTTTTGTTGGCCATGACATTATTGGATATAAATGATTTATTCCTGGGTTTAGAGTTTTAGCTAGGAAGTTGAGGCCCTAGATTCTGGCATCATCTACTCACCCCTCACTTCACAAAAAGAACAAAAATATTCTCAGCTATTTCTAGTATTCTGAGAGTTTTAAATTGTAAATGACATTGAATTTTATTGAACGTGTTTCTACATCTTTTTGGATTCTCTAGTGTTGTCTCCTGACACTTCCCTGCTTGTCTCACTTTAGGTTTGGAAAGGTTAATAAACTTCTTACAGCCTTATTTCTTGAAGTTCACTAGCTATAAGCAACAACACCCCCTTCTTCTCACTAATTCTAGACTCACAAGGTTTCTACAACATAAAGTATACCTTCTGCCTTTCCTAAAAATTGTCACAGGAGTCAAATAACATGACTCTCTAGTGAAGAGATATTAACTTCCCAAGAATCAATTTTAACCAATGTCAGACAAGAGACAGGGAATGAATTATGCTCTTCCCTTTAACTGGGTTGTTCTGTCATGATTTAGAGACAAGGCTACAAGTCCATACCTTCCAGATAATTATTGATGTGTCTCGTCTGACTCACCCCATGAAATAATGGTTGGCATAATTTTGAGTCATCTTGCTTCCTCTACACTTTTCCTTTAATAATGTGGTCCAGAGAATATATTTATATAATAAATCATAACATCTGCAATCTCTTTCTTTGAGTATGTTGAGATTATTGCTCCCCATGGGATCTTTATAGTTGGATTTTCTTCTCTATAAAGTCAAAGGATTTGTTGAAGATACCAAGTGGAGTGACATTAAACTATAGCATACAATACAGTCATAATTACCTAAACATTTTTGTGTGGTTAATTGGAATGGGGACTCCTGGAAAGGCAAGACAGTGAGAGATCAAGTACTTATTGTAATGGTCTGTCCTGTCCCTTTAAGAGACAAGCCCTGCCCACTCCCCCCACCCACCACCAAGGCAGATCTTCCTTCTGCTTCCAGCCTGAATACATTCCTTTCTGTATCTCTCCCAAAGAGGCAGCTTCTCCCTTCTCCCCACTTCTCCCCTTCCCCCTTTTTTTCTCTCTCTCCCTCCTCTGCCTTTCTCTGCTCTTCCCCCTTCTCTTCTTCCCTTACTCCCTTTCCCTTCCATAACCCAATAAACACACACCCACTTTCTCTGCATGGCATGTCTCTGTTTTTCACCTGCCATGTGACTCCTGCCTGGGTTCTTCAGCCCCTCATGGCCTATGGGCCACTTGGGGAACAGAGCAGTTTTATTTTTGCCATGACACTTATGATATGGGTTAATGACGCCATAATGATGTGGATAAAATAGCTTTTTTTGACGGCACGTGTTTTCTTGTACTAATATAAGCTATCATACTGAGATAGCTTAAAACAGCAAACATTTATTGTATTACAGTTCTCTGTGGCAGAAAACCAACAGCAGCCTCGCTGAACTCAACTCCTTTCTAGAAAAGAGGCTGATTTCTTGCCTTTTCACAAGCTTCACACAGCTATTGACTGGTAGCTCCCTTTGGTTTTGGAGTTGACAATGAATTTTATCCCCAGCTTTGTCCCTTGACAGCACTGTCTTTCTGATCACACCCGGAGAAACTTCTCTCTTAAGGACTCACTTCATTAGTTTGGCCCACCTGGAAAGTATAAGGTACCTCTTGCCTGTCAATGTCTGACCTTAATTACATAATAGAGGTCTTTCCTGGCATGTGACAGATTTTTATTTATGGTGCTGGGGATCAGACCCAGTGTTTTATGCATGTAAATACATGCTTGTATCACTCTTAAGCACTGGACTATTTGACATATGGGGCCGTTTTTTACTCTGCCTACAGAAAAACATTGCCAAAATTGGGATCAAGAACTGTTTATGAAGAAACCAATTGTTATCCCTTTGATAAGCCTGTGTCATTATTAGGAAAGAACATTATCCCAGGTTCCTAAAAATTATTTTCTTAAAGCTACTATGGCAAATGAACACAGACTGAATGACCTAAAACAATAAATATTTAGTTTTTCAAAACTCTAAAAGCCAGAAGTCTTCAATCAATGTATTGGTTAGACTGTGTTCCCTCTAAAGCTTGGGTTCCCAACCTGTGGGTCTTGATCCTATTAGGGGTTGATCATCCCTTTAACAGAGCTCTCCTAAGACCATTATAAAACACAGATATTTACATTATGATTCAAAACAGTAGCAAAATTACAATAATTGAGTAGCAGTAACAATAATTTTATGGTTGGCAGTCACTACAGTATGAAGAACTGTATTAAAGGGTTGTAGTTTGGAACCACTGCTGTAACATCTCTATGGGTTACTTTTCTTGCCTCATGTAGCTTGACTTGAAGCATAACTCCAACTTCTGCATTTATCTTCTTATGACTACCTTTCCTGTCTCTTTGTGTCTTTTCCTTATCTAGAAGGTTACCAGCCACTGTGTTTATGGTTGGATCCACTCTAAGTCCAGGGTGATTTTATCACAAAATTCTAATGAATTGTACATTTAAAAGACCTTATTTCAAAAATAAGGCTACATATTTGAAGTTTTGAATGAATATATGGCTTTATTTTAAAATCATGCTTTTCAACTATCACACCTACAACAGGGAAACATAAAGATAACCCTGAGAAAATTGTAATTGTTTGAAACAGCCTCAACTTTCATGAACCCATTTGACCAGCAAAATTATCCCTTTCAGCCGGGCGGTGGTGGCTCACGCTTTTAATCCCAGCACTCGGGAGGCAGAGGCAGGCGGATCTCTGTGAGTTCGAGACCAGCCTGGTCTATAAGAGCTAGTTCCAGGACAGGCTCCAAAACCACAGAGAAACCCTGTCTCGAAAAAAACAAAACAAAACAAAAAAATTATCCCTTTCACTGTTGCTTATAGAAAATAATTTTTCTGCTTTAGGAGACTGATAATTATATTCACACAGATAAATGGAGTCATGAACTCAGGTGTAAAACCAGAATCACACCTCAGATATCATTACAATCTAACATCGATACATAAGTCTTTCTCTATAAGGAAACAGAATATACATAAAATAAGTAGAATATATATTTACAAAAGAAACTGAGGACCTAATGTTGTTAGTCACCAAAGGAATACATTTAGCAATGATTTTTAAGGGTTTGAACTTGGAGGCTGTATAGAAGTCAGTGTATTACATAGGGCATGTTTTGGGTATAATCCTTTGGTGAGGACACATGCCCTAGTAGTTTACAGGGCTAATCCTTTGAAGCCTTGATTCAACAGAGACATATGGTAACTAGAGATACCAACTATACCTTCTAATGCAGTATTAAAGAAGGGATCAGATCAGAAGAAGCAAAAATGGAGAGTATTAACTAAGTCACCTCCCCAGTGCTGCCTAAGAGCCCTCTAAGGGTGCTGTTTCTACTTAGTAAGGCAGGAATACTCTGGAAAAGAAGGTAACACATTTACAACAGTAGGTAGTGGCTATCTTTTTTAGGCCTTTGTTGACAGCAGGAAATGATGGCAAAGAGCCAGTCTCCATAATATCTGTGGGGATTGAATATCTAGTTGTTAGAGGCCAGGTGGCAATATTTAACCATCTGACAGTATGGGTATAAATTGCTGTAAAAAGCAGCTAGGCTATAAGGGCAATACATGAATCCATGATATTAACTAATAAAACAAAAGCAGAAATACAATAAATGAAGCCAGTCTTATGCCTGTCTTCCCAGCTCTTTGGGAGGCTGGATCAATCAGATCACCAATTCCAGGTCTGCATAACAAGACCACACCTCAGTAAAATAAACAAAATGTGAAGAAGTCACAAAAGACCACAACAAGTTTTTCTTTATACTTGTGATATATTTAACTTTTTAAAATCAATATCTTTGCATATTAGCAAAACAAGAAAAAACATAAAGAAAGCTGATACAAAAAAGGCTTTAGTAAAATTCCCTTCATGATGAAAATGATCTTTTCTCACTCTAAGGGAAAAAAGGAACTTTGTGGACCCAAAGCTGTGAAACTTACACAAAGCTGTGAATATATCCTCCTTAATGCTGAGTTTGTTTTTCCCTTTGGGCAGAAGTGAGACAAAGATTCCTTCCATTTAACATTGTTTAGCTGTTGGCAATATTGGTAACTTTTCATATATATTTTTAAAAGTATAAATTTCAATTAATATTTATGTGTATTTCATTATGTAGTATTTAAAAATATTTTTGTTAATACTTTGAGAATTTCATATATTATTTTTGTTCATAACTGTCCCCAACTCTTCATATTCAACCCCATCTCCCTACCCATACAACTTCTTGCTTTCTCTGGTTTTAAGCCCGTCTAATCTGCAGTCTCTTACTTTCTGCACATTGGCCTTGACCAGTAGCAGCACGGTTTTAGTTCTCATTTACTGCACAAAACTTTTCTAATGAGGGACGAGAGACCCATTAGTCTATGGGTATAGCAGTAAGCCTTCAGGAGTTGGTTTTACACAATATCCATTTAGCAAAATAATAGTGGTAGATTCTCCCCTAGGGCTATGACTTGTACAGCAACAGCTCTTGGCCCCAGTAACCCTGCCACCTATGGATTAATCTCACAGAGCTTCTTTCTGGGTCTAGGTTATCTCACCCAGGATGTTTTTTTTTTCCAGTTCTACCCATTTGTCCTTATATAATTTTATGTTTCTTTATAGCTGAATAATATAGCATTGTATTAATGTGTCACATTTCATTATTGCATTTCATCAGTTGATGGGCACCTAGGCTGTTTCCATTTGCTGGTTATTGTGAGAGCAACAGTGAACATGGATAAACATCTCTGTAGTAAGATGAACAGTCCTTTGCTTATGTCCATGGGTAGTATAGCTGGATGACAGGGTAGACTATCTCCAACTTTCTGAAGAACCACCATAGTGTCTGCACCAGTCTACTCTCCTACCATTAGTGAGTCAGTTTCTTCTTTCTCCATTGCACATCAGCATTTGCAGTTATTTGTGGGTGTTATTCATTTATTTATTTTATCCTAGCCCTTCTGGTTGGGTTAAGATGAAATCTGAAAATGGTTTTCATTTTCATCTTCGTGATAGCTAAGGATATTGAACATTATTAAATTTTTTTCTTTTAATTTTGAGATTAGTATAATGACATCATTTCTCGTTTCCTTTCTTCCCTCTAAACTCTCAATTTAATTTTTTTAAAAATAATTTCCTTTAAGTTGGCATATCAGAAAGTTCAACACTTTTGTCAAATCAATTTAAACATTATCATGTGTAGCTCCTTAACTTTGCATTTGGATATAAGGTATAGCTAGATTAAAAATAACTCTAGGGGCTAGCAAAATGGGTCAGTGGTTGAGAGTACTTGTTACTCTTGAAGATGATCTCAGTTCAGGTTCCAACACCCACTTGGCAGCTCTCAACTGACTATAACTCCAGTACCAGGGACTCTGATGCTCAATTCTGTTCTCAACAGGAACCAGGCATGCATGTGGTCTACATACATTGCAGTCAAATTATCATATACATAAAAACATGAATAGGATAGGTAAAAATATATTTCTTTGATAATGTTTCAATTTTATGTTTCAAATTCTTTTATTTTAAAAGGAAGACTATTACTTTTCAAATACTTTATATTGATTTAAGTATAAGCACCATTGTATTGGTAGTTACATTCCTTATTGCTGAAACAAAACATCTGACCAAAGCACCTTATGGAATTAGGTGGTTTTCATTTGGAGGAAAGTCTATCATGGTACGGAAGGGGCACAGGCAGAAGCATTATCACCACAGTCAGGAAGGAAAGAGTGATGCACGCTTAGGCTCAGCAAGCTTTCTCCTGGTTAGGGGATCCACAGCCTGCGACCACGGAATGTTGCCGTCTACATTTAGAACAGGTCAACTCACCTCAACTAATCTAATTTAGAAAGTCCCCAACATTCGTCTCCAGGGTGCTTTTAGACCCTGTAAAATTTATATTGTAGGCTACAATTAGCTAATGTTAATTTAATAGAGAATTTTTAAAAAGCTTTAACTTCTAAAGGTTTATAAGCCATTAGTTTAAGCTATGTACTCAAGGCTTTGGATGTAGTTCAGTGGCAGAGATTCTGTCTGACATGTACAAGGTCCTACATTTGATCCCCAGAATGAGGGGCTACACCAGCATCTTCTGGTGAGAATATGATAAAATATTTGCTCAAAGTAAATAGAGTTGATATGACAAAATTTAAAACTATTTTATATTATATTTATATATTTATATGAGTAGCCAATTAAATATAATACTTTATCGATTATTTTGTCTTCATTTTCTATCTTTAAATTCTCACATAAACTATATTGTATCATGTTTATTATTTACATGTTTCCTTGATTCTTTCAAACAGGCAGCGTTCTCTGGTGATGTTTATATTGCAACAAAAGTTATTGACCCTTTAATTTGTTAATTGCTGTATCAGCATCTTTGTCTTCAAAAACAATTTTAAAGTAGTAGGAAGCATATTTAAGTACTAGAAAAGGTAGGACAAATCAGGCTGTGTTGTGTAGCATGCTTTTTCTTTATAGTAGTATTATAACTTTTTATTTGAACACCATTAAAATTAATATCAGAATTAAGAAAATGGTTGTTTTACTGTTTTCCAGCTTTTGATAGGTTATGAAAATGGTACTGTAGTATTCTGGGATTTGAAATCTAAAAGAGCAGAACTGAGAGTTTATTATGATGAGGTAAGTGATTTCTGCTGACATATTTGGAAAGTTTGGGGATTATGTGCCACTTTTCTGCTCTGAAGTTTTGTGCTTTACTAATATTTTTGATCACTGGAACCATACTGTCCTTACTCAGCGTTTAATATTCTTTTGTTACTTGTATAAGTTCCAACTGTTGATTATTTTTGAATGAGAATTGCCTAGTTTGGCTTTGTATCTATTCTTTCCCTATGGCACTCTTTTGATTTGTCTCATCTCATTTCTTTTATGTAGGTTCCATACTCACATCTTGCTTCTTGACTTTCAAGTTTCTAAAGGCACTAGTCAAGGCTTCCTAAACAATTCATTTTCTGTGGCTAAGAGTTCAAGACAGTTTGAAAAGCTTTTCCCATTTATTATTTATCTTCTTAGAATAATGAAATTGTTTTGTGTATAAGAACAAATAAATGACACTATCTTGAGGTAAATTTTATTATATACAATTTATTCTTGATTAGGTTTCTCCCAGATGACATTTCAGCTGGACTCTTGATTCCAGGCCTTTATTCCCATTTAGAGGAAGCTAATATGAAGACAGTGCAGCTGAGAGAAGATAAAAAGGGAACTTATTTCTTGAGGCTGGGTAGCAAAGACGATCGTCTACACCCTTAGATTAGAAGTAAAGTGGGAGTGGGACAAGACAAAAGGAAAACGCTGATCTAGCTAACACCCACTCTTATATGCATAGATGTCACATAATTTAAGGAAGCATGGAAGTAAATAGAAAACAGACTCATCTATTTCTTTTTAGAACACTTCATTTTTAGATTAGAAGAATAAAAAATATCACCCAATGGACTTCTAGTTGCCTTCGAATACTCAACATTTTCTTTCCTATTATATCATAACAATTAAAAATTTAGAGTTTTGGTCCCTAAAGATATATTTATTGGGCTAGAGAAATGTCTTAATGGTTAAGAGCATGTACTGCTCTTGCACAGGATACGGGTGTTTCCAACATCCACATCTGGTAGCTAGCTCACAACTAATGTAAGTCCAGCTCTATCGATCTGATTCCCTCTTCTGTTCTCCTCGGGCACTATACCCGTGTGCACGTACTCACACATGTATGTATACACATTACTAAAAATCAAAATAAAATCTCAATAGAAATTTTCATTTTATAAAATTCACAGTTTATTTCTTAATGGTTCTCTCAAACTAATATTTTACCATATATATGAAATAGTTACATTGCCAAAGAGTCTAGAAGTTAATTGTGTAGTGTCTGAGCAATTTGGTCATAATTGGTGAAAAACAACCATGCAAGTAATAGCACAAATTAATTATGTTCTTCATATTCACTTTCATTACATCTGAATCATAAGGAAAAATGACTCCACAGAGCAGAGCTGGCTGTTTGCTGTTGTTAAATACACAAAATGCAATGATACATTATAAATATTTCTCCCTTTTTTAAGACTAAGAGCTAGAGAAAAATACAAACACGGTTTAACTTGTTAGAGTTGGAAAAGACCAGATCAATAGGAAACCAAAAGGAAAATGCTGAAAATTATGCTTTCTTTAAGCCTAATCTGTATGAAAATAAATTTTCCAACCTTAGGAAATAAGCATATTAATTCTGAAACTGAAACTTTAAATAAAGATTAGAAATATTCTAAATTAATAGAATATGATTGTCTATATAATTTATACATAGAGATTATTTTACGTATTGATGTAAATCATATACACACATAGTTAGGTATTATACTACACATTTGTAGTTTATGTCATTCTAATAAAAGATAGTTATAAGCTTTATGTAGCTAAAAAACTTTCAAACTTTCTTATTACTTTGTCATAACTAGAAACTATCTTTAATAAATTCCTAAGATGGTTTTATAAATCATATATACTCTTCCCAGCACTGCACTTGGTGGTCTCTGCTGTAATTTTTCAAAGTCCGTTCTTAAAATTGTTTCTTTTGTTTGTTTGTGCCTATCTCGTTTGCCTCTTTTCTCCGTCTCTGATTCATTTAGATTATAGATTCTCAAGTCTGGAACACTGGCACATACTAGGTGTTTGAGAGACTAAGGCAGGAAGACAAGTTGGGGCACTAGTTTGAGGCTGGCTGAGTGATGTAGTGAGCCCCTCGCACCTCAACACTACATCTGCCTTTTGTTGCCTCCTCTAACTTATGTTTATTTGTACGGTCTCTCATTTCTATTACTAATAATACTTACTGTAGTAATCAATAAGCTTACTACAACTAACAACTCACTGGCCTTTACCCCTCTCTTAAACTTTAAATTTAAATGTCTAGCAATTTAATAGGTAAGTCAAAATAAATATCACCAGAACAGAATTTATATTACACATACCACTTTCTATGTTCTTTTTTCTTTTAAAACCAGTTTACAATGTCCATGGTAATCCTATTTTGCTCTTCTTCATATATCATAAACAATCAGTTTTTATAGGCTTTTTGATTTTGTCTTTATTTTTATTGCCATTCCTCTCTGTCATTTCTATACCCAGTACTCTACGTGAAATTGCTTGACTGGTGATGAGTCTCTTAACATCGACCTTTCTGTATATTCTTCATTAATAGATTATCTTTCAAATATATAATCAGATCATGAGATTCTCTACATTAGGATATTTGACTCCCTGTTAACAGGGTCTGAACATGAGAATTAAAGCTGTGGCACTTTTTTTTTAAAAAGTATAATTTACTACATCTTGTTAAACAGTTCACACATCTGGGACATGTTACTCACTTTCTCTTAATGATATAATTTTTTCTTACCTTCAAGATTTTTCTACTGATAATTGCTTTCTCAATATGAACTCTCTTCTTATCTCTTTTGTATTTTAAAATCCTATTAGTCTGTAGGCACCAAAAAGCTATTTGAACTGTCTAACTATCCCTTGATGATTAGTCATAGATGAATTGGATTTTTTTTTTTTAGAAATCCAGTATTATATTGAGAAATAATTAGCTGAAAAAATTGCTTTCAGCTAGTTGTTATAGGTTATGCCTCTACTCGCAGCCACACGGGAAAGGCAGTTCAAACAAAATAGCACTTCTGTCAACTTTGCTGAACTGCAGTCAGTTTCACATTCTCTGAAGCTACTTGGTCAGCAAAAGTAGAGGGCGAGAAAACGTTCAGACATACAGCCTTATCCCAATCCAGTGAAGGAGTTCATCAAGTTCAAAGCCAACTAGAGCTACACAGTAAGTTTCAGGCCAGCCTAGAATGCAGAGCGGAAATTTTCTAAGTAATAAAAAGGCAAGGATTTATTTTACAATAGTTATGGTTTTGTTTCTTCATATTGATATTTCTTCAATAAGCTCAAACCTTTCAATTTGGCATAAGGGTAATATTTTGATTCCATGGGAACTGTATATTTCCTTTTGTCAGATTGTTAATATAGTTTTTAAGCTTTTGTTTTCAAGAAAAAGTTAGCGTTGACAAAATATGACTCATATTTTTTCTTTAAATTCTTTGTTTTATTTTTTCTTGAATTGATTATTGATATTTGGTTTCCATTAAGTCCCTGTTTTGATAGAAAGAATGTGATGTAACTAAATAAACAAAAAATCAAATACCCTCCATCAGCTCAGTTACCAGCTCCTTAGTTATACACTATTTATCGTCTTGATCTCTAAAACAAGACAATGTTTCATCATTGCCCTATTTACTGAAATTCTACTTCATTTATAGTTGTAGCTATATTTTTTTCTCTCCTCCCCAGTGGGTAGGATTTCATTGGGTTAGGATGAGGCTTGGGGGCTGTACACTCTCTCATCCTCTACTTCTACTGACCAAGTAGTTTCAGAGAATTTTAAACTGAGGATCAGCAAAGTTGACAAAAGAAGTGCTATTTTGTTTGAACTGCCTGCAGAAGGGAAAAGAAATAAACAGAGAAGACAATGAAGAATGTTTCTAAATGCTTTTGTTGGAGACTGTTAGGGGAAAAGTCTGGGCATAGAAATTACAGCTAAACTGAGAAGAAATGAAAAGAAAAACAAAATCTCACAAGCCCAGGATATCATGTTGCATTTTATGTTCAGTTTAGTCTTATATTGAGGTCTGAATCATCTTTTTGTTGTTGTTGTTTAATGGTTTGTCAAAACAGCAGTTAGCTGTAACTCTGATATAATATATATTGACTGAAAATTTTACACTTAGTTATGTAAAGAATTAGTTACGTAACTGTATAAGCACACATGCTTAATGTTCTGAACAGTAGAGATGATTAATATTCACCCATATTGACCTCACTCTGTTTCTTGGGAGGAGATATTTTATACACCTTTTGATTTTCTTGCCCACTAGAACTTGTCTCATTGTATTCAACGAAATGGTTAAATTATTCACAAAAGATACAAAGATTTAGAAATTCAATATTAAATACTAATTCAGTAGATCTTTCCTTAAAAACTATTTTATAGAAGAAATTACACTACTGTAGGAATTAATACAATTTTAAAATGAAATAATTACTGTTTTCAGAATATATGATGACATAATATATCTACTTTCCCCCTCTGTACTTGTTTGTTGTTGTTGTTGTTGTTATTTTACCAGGCTATTCATTCAATTGATTGGCATCATGAGGGCAAACAATTCATGTGCAGCCATTCGGATGGTAGCTTGACTTTATGGAACCTGAAAAGCCCAAGTCGCCCTTTCCAAACCACAGTTCCACATGGTAAGAAAAGAGACTGTGGAGACTACAGAATCGCCTCTCCACAGCTTTAATTCCTCCAGTTTTGCCTTCCTTTATGTTGCAGACTGGCAGAGTGCATCGATGAGCTCTTCTATTTTAGGTTTTTTGTTTTACTGTCTTAATGGTAATCTGTTTAGTCCATTAACATTAAATATAATTACTAGGAAGACTAGATTTAGGTCTACTTATTTTTGTTTGCTTTCTGTTGTTCATACTATATTTGTTTGATTTTCTCTGCTTCTTCACTTTCAAGTAATTTAAATATTTTTAGGAATACATTTTAATTCATAGGCACTTTATCTTCTTTTCCTATTGTTTATTGCAAGTATCACAATGTTTCCTTAACTACTCAATATGTTAGTGCTAAAATTATAACACATCATTTAATATATAGACATCTTGTAACCATGTAGATCTACTTATCTATCTTCATTATCATTTATACTATAATTGTATATCATACACAGATATTGTGATTTTTAAATGGTCACATGTATTATAATTAAGAGACAAAATACTCTATAATTTAATTTATTTGTGGACATTACTCCCATTTCATAGGTCTGGTAAAATGATTTCATTAAGCTTCTATTTGAAATTATCTTATCTCCATTTTTGATGACTGTTTTGCTAGATGTAGATTTATGGTCAACATCAGGTCATAGTGTGCTAGGTGGGAATTCATGTAATATAATGACTGCTTTAATGATAGTCAATCATCTTCTAGTTTCAATGTTTTCTAAATGAGCAATCCTCAGTGTTTTGAACTTTGCTTCTACGATTTAGAATGTGTTTTCTCCTTCTGGTGTTTTCAGGCAAAGTTTTTATCTTTTATTTGCAGCAACTTAAAAATGCTTTGTCTCATCTTGTCTTGATTGTTTAATTTTTCTATTAACAGTTCTAATTTTTTTGGAACTTTTTTGCCATCTACCTTTAATATATTTTTATGTCTGTTTCTCGTTCTGGAATATGACTCAGCTTTGTTAGAACTTTTGGTGTTGTGAAAGACACCTCTGAGTCTTAACTTTTGTATTTTTTTTGTCGATATTTTTGTTACTGATTTCAAATCAACCAATTCCAACTGATTCGTCATCTGTTTACCTGCTTCTTGTTCTGCATTTCTCTTCTATTAAATTGCTCAGTTTTTTTTTATAGTTTCCCACTCAGTATCTTTTTGCCTTTTAGAAATATTTCAAAAATTCTTTCTGTCCTTTATGGTGAGCATTTCACCTTTCTTTAATCTTTAAGCTTAGGTGCAATCACCTCCTAAAACCTTTCCTTGATAACATCACCTGCTTTGCCTAACTTGTAATGACAACAATGGTGCACACATCACCCTCTTTATAATATTTTTGTTTATATCTTATATAATGTAGATATAGTCTTTTATCTTCATTTTATCAATTATTCGGTATAAAAGTTTGTTAGAAATAAGAGTAAAACTTCATGTATATAAAGCTATATAATGTGGATGTGATATAATATCATTTATACTGTAGAATGTATTTTCTCATCCCCTTTCTCAAAGAAATAAAACACTGATATAATGAAAGAAAACAGACACTATCTTTAACTAAGTTAATCAATACAGAAGAACAAAAACATGAAATTAAAAATTATATGGGAAATGCAGAAATTAAAAACTCAAAACTCTCAAACTCATAATTCTGTACTATTCTATATTATAAAATTAAGAACATGGGTGAAGTAGATAATTTCAAGGGAAATACAAAATAATGAAAAATTTTGTACAGTATTTTTATTATAAGTTCAAATCCCCATCTGTGGTTCATTTCTTTCAGCCTGAAAAACACCTTTTATTACTATATTGTTGTTAAAATAGTTCTAGGATGCATATTCAGCTTTGTTTTAGGGGAAATGTTTTTATTTGAATTTATTGTTGAAAGATGATTTTGTCCAACATGAAATTCTTAGTTGACAGTTCTTTTTTTCATTTCTAATACTTGGGATATCTTGCTCTCTGCTAATCAATACAGCTAATAATTGATTAGCTTTAATGTTTCTGAAATTGACATTTAATCTTACTTGGGGCTCTTTTCATACATCCATTTTTTGGTTTTGTTTTGTTTTTGGTTTTTTTTGAGACAGGGTTTCTCTGTGGCTTTGGAGCCTGTCCTGGAACTAGCTCTGTAGACCAGGCTGGCCTCGAACTCACAGAGATCCGCCTGCCTCTGCCTCCCGAGTGCTGGGATTAAAGGCGTGCACCACCATCGCCCGGCTCATCACATCGGCTCATACATCCATTTTGATCTTGACTTTCCTTTCTGCCTTTAAGATTTTTTTTTCTGTCTTTCAGCATTTTTGCTTGGATTACCTTGGCCTAGGGTTGTCTCTTTATCAATTTACCATTACTTCTCTAGCCTTTCAGTATTACACTTGTGTGTATGGTGGTAATGACTAGTGGTATTTCACAGTTTTTGATGTTCTTCACTTTCTTTCCTCCTGTTTGGTTTGATACGCTCTGGTTTGTCTCCAGCATTAATTTTATACAATTTTATACAATTTCCAGAAATATTTTTTGTTAATTTCACCCATGTTCTGAAATGTTGATTTATTCCTATTACTCCCAAATTCAAAAGCTGTCCATGTTGAGAATCAGTTACACATTTTGTCATTAGTTGACTATTTTATACCTGGAGAATTTATCCTTTTTCTGTCGTTTATCATTTTATGGAGTCCAGCTGGTCTATCCATGCCCCTGTTTAATTACAGCTTCTGCAGCATGTTGTGTCTGTTACTCATTCACTTCTGGTGCATCACACTGTCATTTTTATGTGTGTATTGTTCAATATCATAAATTCCAAACATATTAGAATTTAATTACTTCTATGCACCCTGACACATATCATATAATACTAGGAATATAGAGAATAGTAACAAATCAAATTGACGATTTTTTATACAATGTTTTATACAACATGGCACTTAAGCATGCTTTAACCACTGACAAATACTGATATAATTAAAGTAAGAAGCTGTTTTCTAAAAGTAAGTTGTTAGAGCTGAAGACTGAATATTAATGGGACTTTACAACCTGATTTCAATGCTTGGGACCCAAATCACAAAAGGAGAGAACTAATAGTTCTCTTACCTCTATAATGAGTGCCCCCTCTCCACATAGTAAATTAATCATTGTAACACCATTTTTAAATGAAGAAAAATGATTCTGTAAGTCTATCATATGCTTTAAGACAGGACTTTCTGCAATATGAAAGTTTACTTCTAGTATAGATAAACTATTGAGAGTTATATAGATTTTATTAAGATTTTATCTTTTTCTCTTCCTTTCTTTTTGTTCATTTTCTTGTGGAGGGGAGGGGAAGACACTCTAATGTACTCTTTAGTGGATTCGAACACTCAACTCTCCTGCCTCAGCCTCCTGACTGTTGAAATCACAGTCGTGAATAATATATTTTAATAATATATTTCATTATGTATGCATGTATCATCAGTCCTAAACTTTATTTTATGAGCATATGTAACTGCAATAATTTTATAAGGAAATACATCTATATTTAGAGATTACAAAGCACCAAAAGATGATACTTTATAAATAACTTGATTATATAGCAGTCTATTGTTATTATCCTAAAGCATATAGATTTAATAAAATATTAGAATATATAGACTTATGCCAAATATGGGCACTTTAAAGATAAACCAGTATCTTTAGATTAAACTGACGTTACTATGAAAATGACCAGTTTAACAATATAACTAAAGTAATAAAATTATTCCAAACTTAATCATCATTGATGGAAATATAAACTAGTGCTTGTCCTATCTCTTCTGTAAGCAGTATCTACAATTAACACTGTGCTTGCGCATTGGGCTTCAGTGGTGCTCGTATCCCTGCCAATGTGATCTGTCCAGGGCTTGTTGTAGTGCAGGAAGTCACGCGGCTCACCCCAGAGGCTTGTAGAGTTCATTTTTTCATTATGTTATTGTTCCATGTTTATATTTATTAATGGAAATTTAAAAAAATTCTCATGGGTCAGTATAATTTAAGTCAGATTTAATTATTTCTTTCTCTCATTAGGAAAAAGTCAAAGAGAAGGAAGAAAGTCTGAGCCTTGTAAACCGATTCTTAAAGTGGAGTACAAAACCTGCAGGAACAGGTATGTGGTTGTACTTGGTGAATATGTGAATATGTATCAGGGGCGGGATAATATGTTATCCTGCCCTAGAATTATAAATTATTAATTCTCTAAATCAATAACTTATTTTTCTTGACAATTATAAATATTGAAAATAACAAATAGTGTACTTCATCATATTTATATTAACATCATATATATTCTAATAATTGAGGACTCTTGAATTATTTATAATATAGAAATATTTATTAATCTTAATCTATGCATCTATTGATATTCCTTATGACATTTAAATATATAGCCAGATCTATCCGAGCTTATAATCTGACATATTGAAATTGGAAAGCTAACCTTTAGTTGGAATTATAAAGTCATGAATATTTTCATAATGGAAAAAAGCCTGAATTTTATGATTTATATGATAAAATAACATTCAGTACAATTCTACATTTATAGATACCATGTCCAGTATTTCCGCATTTCCTCTTAATTTGTAATAATCACTAATGGCATTTTCCACCCAATATGAGCATAATAAACCTTGCCTGAACATTATTGTTATTTATCATTATTATTATTATGATGATGATGCATGTATAAGACGTGGGTTCTGGGGATCTAACTCAGGAGCCAGGCTTGTGCAGCAAGAATTTTGACGTGCTAAGCCATTTGTCAGTCCCTAAACAGACTGTAAATTGAAAGTTCCTACTTTATCTTAGTTACTTGCTCACATTGTAGTGTGCTATTAGCATCACAGATATAAATATGTTTGTTAAAACTTCCTCTTCTGAAGTTTTAATAGTATAAAATTGTGATGATAAATTTTCAATACCCCTTTAGCAGTCCAGTTTAGTATAATATACCTAAAAAATAAAATATTCCAAATTTTAAAGATTGTGGATGGAAACAAAATCTTATATAACTATTGTCTTTTTAAAATATAATTACAAGTTTTCTTGTGCCTTTAGATTCAGTAGTGTATATCACAAGTTATGCAGTGTAAACTCTAAGGATCTTTGAGGGTCAGGAAATTATATTAATTTTTCCAAACAGCTTATAGCTTTATTTAGTTTTCCTTTTCACTTACTTCAGTGTTGACTGTCCTAAAGGCTATAATATCTGTTGAATTTTCAATTAGTGTTCAATATTTTTATAGATTACAAATCTTGAAAATGAAACAGCAAAATGAGAACAAATAGTTTCATGTGAAGCCTGAAATGCTTTTTGCACAATAAATCTCAGGACCCATGGACTTTAGTGCTTCTTCTTGGCTACAAGGGTGTTGTTTTGAAAGTGTACTCCTGTGCCGTGCTCAGCAATGTTCAGGTTAATTCCATTGGTTTTAACTATATACTACACACTGTGTAATTTGATTTGTGAGCTAAACCATAACTTATTACCATCTTTTTAATTTGGTAGGCTCTAGTAGCAAAGACCAAGACAAAATACTAGTGATTTTTGAATAGCACGAGAAGTAGTTTGATGGATGTTTGTCTTGGGGGAATGGAAAAGGGACAAGGGTATGATTGAGCTGTAAATATTATCACATTTCTAACTTTATTGGCTTTTTTGGGCAATTAAAAATTTTAAAGAAATAAGGAAAAGGAACACCTTGTTGAAGGCCATGGAGAGAAGAGCTATCAAGAGAGAGGTCAGGAAAATTCCTTAGGGAGAGAATTTTTGAGATAGGTGTTCAAAGGCGAAAGTAAAGTAGCCTTTGGGAGCCAGGGCTCAAATGAAGCAGTGTGACGCCACAGTTATCACTGACTTTACAGTAACATGGCTCTGAGATTTTTAATTATATCATCATCTTTAGTTTCATCACTAATAATACCTGATTTACTATGTTACTCCATGAAAACTAGATGAAATAATGCATAAGGCATAGATTTTCACGACTAAGAAGGCACACTCAGGTTCCTAATAAATCAAATCACCATTATAATTATATTAAAACCATGGTATTCTACGTTGTTAGCAGTATTTCATTACTCTTAAAAATTTGTTTTAGCACTTAGTATCCTAACTATAATAATTCTATTTATAATGTGAAATGTGTATTTTATTGGTCATACTTACTTTCATTCCACTTAAATACAGTGCATGCAGACAATTTTGTTTTTATTTTTGTGATAATAGATTTAAGTAAAGGTAACCTCTGGAAATTTAAAGCAAGGGAAAAATTTGGAGGTGTACTAGTCTGAAAAAGAATGAAAGATGGGACCCAGAAACAGTACAGTACTCTACTGAAGGTTATATCAAAGTTAGGCTGTACCTTAATTAAGATACTGTTTCTTTTCATTAATTGTTTCATGCATATATAGAGGAACACACACAATCACACACACACACACACACGTATGTGACCCCATATGTTCTTGTTACCAGATAGTATTAGATTTTTAAAGCAAGTCGTGTTTTGTTCTTTTGGTTTTTGTTTTGTTCTAAGTAGAGCATTTGTTCAAATGCATTGCCACCCTCCCTGATTAACACTTTAGACAGTTTGGCAGGGGCCTTGGGAATGTGTATCTGTAAAAAATTCTGGTTGGTACTGGATCACATTTTTAAAAATTGATACACTGATTAAAATAAAATGTTAAGAGATTAAAATAACAGGAAAATAAGGAGATAATGATGACACAAATATCTAGAGCCCAGGAGGATTAATAATGAATCCATCTTAGTCATTGTTCTATTGCTGTGAGGAGACACCATGGCCAAGGCAACTCATAAAAAAGAATCATTTGTGTGCCTACATTCACTACTTGAAAATAAACTTTGTTGTATGTACTGTAGGTTTATAATATAATACTATAGGGTAGATATACTTCAAATGATAGGAAGTATGCTTCCTAATACCAGATTTATGGACTCTTTACTTACTTTGTCAAATTGCTCATGCTAGGCCATTCACTAAACTCATCCCCAATGCAGACTCAGAGAACAGAAGAGCTTTTTGTCAAGACATAATTTTTAAAAATTAGAAAAGATATTTTATATGTAAATGTGATAGGTATATTAAAAATTCTATTGGTTTTGTTATTCTGTAGTCAGCATTAAATTAACTAATAATTGCATACTATAAGACAGAAAAGAGGAGATACAGTGATTTATAGAAACAGGCAACTTCTTTTTAGCAGATAGAGTGGAAGTGTATTTTTTAGAAAGGCAGACTTTCAAAGGACTTGAGGCAAAGACTCTCTAGTTCCTTTCAAATGTATTTGGAGGGGAATATTCTCAATCTTGTATTTACTTGTTGAAAATACTTCCTTATTAACATGAAATATGTGTATTGAGTTTAGAATAGAAAATGAAAAGTTTTTAAGCTATTTATAGAAAGCTACAATATTTATAATCATCAAAAGAAACCTCATTGAGTTCATCACTTTGTGTCATTATAAGAAATTACGAGAATAAATATCTTAAAGTAAGAAGACCCCTTTGGCTTTAGGTTGCTTTAGTCTGTCACTGGGTGACTCCATTTATCTTAGTATTATGTCAAGGCAAATTACAATCTTCACAGCGGAAGGAAAGTAGCTTACATTATGTCAGCCAAGAAGCAGAGAGAGAAAAGAGGAAGCCTATGCTGGTACACTTTCTCATTCTTTTATTCCTCCCTGGACCGCACACTATTGGACAGCACTACCAACATTCAGCATAGGTCTTCCCTCACTGCCTATACGTGCTATTCCACACGGCAGTTGTCTCTGTACATGCACTAACAGACACATACAGGAGTCCCTTCCCTTCCCTTCCCTTCCCCTTCCCCTTCCCCTTCCCCTTCCCCTTCCCCTTCGCCTTCCTCTTTCCCTTCCCCTTCGCCTTCCCCTTTCCCACCTTTCTTCTTTCTTCCTTCCTTCCTTCCTTCCTTCCTTCCTTCCTTCCATTCATATCTGTTTTGAAAATGTATTCTTCTCTCATACATTACATTCTGACCACTCCATTTCCCCTCCCTTCAGTCTTCCCAGCCTCCCCCAACCTCCCCTCTCTCCCAGATCCAAAGTCTCATTCCTCAATCCAAACAAGTTGAGAAATGAATGACACTCATTTTATTACTTATTTGTACCTTGAAAAGTAATATATAGACTGAGTAGTGTGTGTGTGTGTGTATGCATGTAAACAATTAAAGAAAAAGGCCATAATTTGAGAGAGAACAAAGGAGGGCATATATGGGAGGATTGGAGGGAAGAAAGGGAATGTAATGTATTTTAATTTCAAAAATAAAAGTACTAAAGTGACACACTAAAATTTTATATGAAATTACTTGAGCCAGCTAGAGCTTGCTAGATATGTATAAAATTGAGAAGATATTCTATAATAAATTATTATTCATCTACATATTATTTTTCTATCTCCTCATAAACCTTTTACTACAGAAACTTTATTACCTACAATTTTCATGTTCTCGTTTACCATTCTGAGCTTCCCACTGTGATATTTCTCTTTGTATTAAAATTCGCCTCTCTCTTTCATTTTAGGGACTTGGGTCCCACATTCCCACTTATTAGTTTAATATTATAACATAACTAATGTTCTAATGATAGTGATATAAGATCTGGTAGCCAAATAAAATATAAAAAAGTCCCTTTGCGAGCCAGTGACTCCACTTTCCTCCAGCTTGTCTTTCCCCAGTGCCGCTCAAATATCTTTGCACTTACCCATAGTTATTCTAGTAGCTAGAATGTAGATCCGGAAAAGGGAGATGATAAAATGGTCATTGTTAGTTAAGAAACTAGAATCAGGAAGGCCATTTGCATTGTAGATAATCTCCTCTGAACTTATTATTTCAAGGCTTATGTTTGACTTCATGTTATCTTAAAGAATATAGTCTCATTACCCTTTTTCCCCCTATGTAGTGAACCATTTATAATATTCTCTGGTGGGCTGTCATATGACAAAGCTTGCAGAAGACCAAGTTTAACCATCATGCATGGAAAAGCAATTACAGTACTTGAAATGGACCATCCTATTGTTGAATTTCTAACTTTATGTGAAACACCTTATCCAAATGGTAAGTAGATACAATGAAACATTTAATTTTAGAAAAAAATATCATTTTTAAATGACAAGTTCCTAATGAAATTAAGGTTAAATATTTTCAGTTTTGGCAGCAGGTATCCACTGTGGTACAACACTGTGAGCTACAGTTGCTGGCGCAGGTTCTACATTGTACATACTTGGCAAACTGGAAGTAAGACAGATGTAGTGCAGCAGTGCTGGCGTTGCAGGTTCTAATATCAGGTAAGTGCTTTAAACTTTGATAAGGATGGTGGAAGCTGAGCTGGGAGGGTCCGATAGGGGTCCAGGGTGAAATCACTTGGGGAAACTGAGGTCTCCTAATAGTCTCTCCTAGACCAGCTCCACCCATCCCATCCCAATAGCAATCAAAGTTAAAGCACTTACCTGATATCAGTGATCTGTAACTCTGGTGGTGCTGCATCTCCTTCACATCTGGCTTGGCTTCAGATGCAACTGCAGCACATCTGATTACTCTAGGATTGCTGATGTGTGGTTAGTGATTTATTTTACTATGGAGAAGAGTCATAAGACCATTGGGAGGAGAGATGCATGTATATATTTATCATCTTGAGTAAAGATACAAAACCTTTGTAAACATGAAACTAGTTCTAAACTCATACAAAAATCTAATGATGAGAAAATAAATATAAAAATGAAAATGGTTAAAACATAAACCAGAAATATGAGTTTATGATAAAAACAATATAATAAATATTACTACATTTTCAAAAGGGACAAAAACTTGACTTGGGACGGAATATTTGGTTTTATGATTCACCTCTGAATTTATGATTCACCTCTGAAACTTCTTAGTTGCTAAGTAAGATACTTACATGTTTTACTTATCTTGTGTAGGAAGGGAATAATTTTACCCAAATATGATTAGTGGAAAGGCAAATGAAAATATTTTGTTAACTATGAAAATACGTATGTCATGTTTCATTACTAAATATGTTGATTTTCTTTAAATTATTTAGCTTTATATTTAAAATATGTAGTAGATAGCAATTATGTAGCACTTTATTTCAAGAGTTACTAGAGATAAATGACCTGCATTTTTTATCAACATATATTTATTGAGCGTTACTGTGGCCTCAATACTATAAGTACTTGTTAAGCTTATAGAAATATGAATGTAATCTTTACATAAATTGCATAAAGTCTGATGGGGTCTATGAAATAGCCATAAATTATTGAAGTAATGCATGATTATAATTCTGAATTACATGGTTCACAGTATAAATAATCCACCTCTTTATAGCTGGTTAAATGACTAAAATATTAATGTAAAGCCTCAATAGAAAAATAGGATTTAGGCAGACTTTATTGAGAATATTGAGTAAAGGTTTTGTAAATTGTGCGGTTTGGTAAGACCAATTTATGGGAAAACATCTAAGGTTTTTGGAGAAATTTGTTAAGAAACAGAACTTTGAAGAAATACTAAGATGAAAGAAAGTACTAGTTTTAATAGTTTTTTTTAAAGGAATATATAGGTTTCAAGAGAGATTCTTAAAATCTAAACTGTAGCAAAGGCATTTGTAGGATATATATATATATATTGTATATATATTGTATATATATATTGTATCTGGGCATGTTGTTTTATTTATATAATCTCAGATCTGGGGAGACTGAAGCAAGAGGACGGCCATGAGTTCAAAACCAGCCTAGGCTACACAATATGTTTTAGTACAGTCTCCGCCGTAGTGTAAACTGTTCATTTTCTCCAAAATGAACAAAACATTAAAACAAACCCCAAACCAGACAACATGTTTCATACACAGTCACAGCATTTTTTAAAAAGAAAGAATAGTAAGAATGAGTAGTTATTAGAGAACAAAGAAGGAAAAAATCTTACAATATTTGTTCATGGCTTATCACACTATAAATGTTCTTTGGAATTATGAGTATAGTTGACAAAGGAACAAAGGTTAGAGTCACCTAGGAAGGAAATTTGGATGAAACAAAAAGAAAAGTAAAGCCACAGGACTAAAAGCTAAAGTTAGGAAAATTCCTCCTTTAAAGAGCATTGAAATGTATCTGAAATAGAAGTTGAGTATTCCTGGTCGCAAAGATGAGACATATGTTTCATATGTAGTCTCCTGAACATCAGTCGCAATATAAGGATAATTTCTAATGATTTTTAATAAAGTATAAATCTGCTAAACCCTGCCTTTTCTACTCTACAAGTGGATTAATAAATTGTTTTTCAGAAAACTGATAAGGATAATTGAACTTTTCATTTGTCAGATTTGAGGAGAAATGGTGTTAACTATACTTACAGGAATATAAATATAGTAACTGCTCAAATGTGTTTTAACTATTCAAACATTGAATATAAAGCACCAGAAAAGAAAGCCTATATTGTACATAATGAAGTTTCTCATGACCTTTCCCAAATCGCCCAGTGCTATTCACCTTTTTAATTCTTCTCTTCAAATATGCATATACTTCTCTTTTCTACAAATGACCTAATATTTTATGTACTGTTTATATCCTTGTGTTAATATATTTTAATTATTTCATAGTAGTTGATAAGGAATTCCAGTCTTTATAGCTACATAGTGATAAATGTCATTCCCAGGCTAAACCAAGTTATGAATAATTTTAATACTGCTGATACTTTTATGACATCTGATGCTGTGACTCATTCTCACAGCTCAAATGTTTTAACATTGTTAATGGGATCATCACCTAGAGTAATAACTGTAATCAGAGCTTGTCAGTTCCCATCTATATTTAGTTGGCCAGTCATCTCTAAGCCTTTCAAATGATGTATTCTCATCAGAATAATAATTGAGGTAGAACTTCTCTCACCCTAACTGGTAGGAACAAGGGTTAAATGATGAGACAAACCAACCTAAATAGGCACTTCATTGCTATCTATTAGCTATAAATATCACCATGTATTTTTTTTCACATAACTTTTATAGCAGCTTAAGGTACTTATAATTGTGCCATTTCAGTGAAAGAGGAGCTTCAAGTCAAGGAATATAGCTAATATGCCCAAGACAAAATCTTTAGTTAATAGGCAAAGAATTGAACTCAGCACTGATTCCCAAACAATTTTTTAGTAGCCATGATGGTATATAGAGGGTTTCTACAGAGGTGAAACTTCTGCTGCCAGTTTCTATTTGTGTAGGAACAACAATAACTTTTGACAGATATAACAATCTAAAATTTTAATTTATCTGTGACTTTAATTCACACATGGTAATGCTTTGGCTATTTTATCTTCTAACGCTTGCTATAAACCTAGCCAATGATGTTCCTAAGGAGAGCTGACAAGGAGAAAATAACTAGTTATATGGAACCCTACTGCTCTTCAAACTGAGAGCTAAATTGTATAAAAACAACACTGAGAAACTTAAAGCAATGCTAGAGATAAATACTAGGAACCATGAGAACGGTTTGAACCTTGGACTGTAGCAGACTAACTATTGTCATAGAGATAACTATCTAAGCACCAGCAAGTCCTAACTCTTGTTTTCATTTACGTGTTTGCTCTTGTGATCACCAACTTCACTTTCCCCGTTTGCCAATTTGCCCTTTATTGTAAATAGAATCCAATGCTTTCTTTGCCTCTTAACTAAATCCCTGTTTTCCCTATCTTAACACAAGTTACATTTTATACCATTACCCTTATTTACTCATAGCTCACAGTAGCTCCTGAATTCTTACTTCTTCACTGTCCACAGCTTGCAAACATTCCTGGAACAAAAACTCCATGAGAAAGATTTATCGTCAGTCTTATTCCCCACATAGCCTTTGGGTTTTGAGATAGCTCCTAGGATATAATGGAGCAAAACTAGGTGGGAAAGGAACAGTGGGATATAAATGAATCAAGGATATGGGGGAAAGGAACAGTGGGAAGAGGGTTGGATTTAGAAATGTGAAATTTACCCCATGCTGTTTGATTTTCGTAGGCTTGTACTCATACACACAGGAATAGTCTATAGGAGTATATTAAACCATATTGACTCAAAGTACACACCCAACTACATGTGTTTCACTATCATAGTGAGGTGATTGTGTATCATATCCCAGAGAAGCAGAGTTAGTGCAGTCTCAGTGTGACTCCTAGTGGGCATGGTTCAAATCTAAACCACTAAGGTTATGGATGAGTCTGATAGTGACCATAAGCTTGAAGTGACACTCTCATTCTTTGTTAGGCAGGATTGCCATCACTTCGTGATTTTTGGAATGTACTTGACTATGTACTATACACATGTTCATTTTTCCTAGTTCTATTAGAAATCTTAACATTATATTTGTCAAATAAACATATTTTATTAAAGTATTCTTTGTCACCTTAGCTCATACTTTGGTTTTCTCATCATTTAAATAAAATGTATATAAGATAAAGGAAATGCATTGTTGGTGGTTTAAATAAAGTATGCAGTATGGAAACTTTTCAATGTTTTTCTTTCTGTTGTAGAATTTCAAGAACCCTATGCTGTTGCTGTACTTCTAGAGAAAGATCTCATTGTAGTCGATCTGACACAAACCAAGTAAGTTGGTCATAATAACACCTATTACTTTCAAATTCTATTCAGTACAATAAAAATGCAGGAGCACATTTTAGAGAACTGGCATTGGAATTCTCTAGATATTAAGTTTTTTCTTATGTGAAATTTGTCTTTGTAAAGTTACAGAAATGTAATTTGGTTAAATGATGAAAAGTGAAGTAGGAAAATTTGTGTAACAAGAAAGTTTCTATTCATCTTAAAAGCAGAACAGATGTTTGGACAAAGCATTTATAGACACCCAGAACAAAAGGAATAACATTTTTGCCATTGTTTTAAGCAAAAGAAATTGTTACAAAATATGTACAATGTAACCGCTGGCCGTCTGTTACTCTACTGACCGAAGGAAAACTGATAAAGGAAAATCACATGTGGTGAAACTATTTTGAGACTACCACAGCAAGCTGTTGAAGCCTGGGAATTTTAGGGACAGAAAATGTAGTCTACCTTTTATTTCTATTTTTAAAATGAGGGAATAAATAATTTTTCACCCCTGAGACATAAGCATGTGTAGCTGGAAGACAATGTTCATCACTTTTAAGTCTACTTTTACAATTAATATAAAGGACTAACATACACCATTGTAAGAGCAGCGCCTTTTATGTTTCATGTCGCATGTATTCTCTTCCTTCCTGTGTCCCTTGCTCCTCTCTCCTTATAATTCCTCCACTCTTGTGAACTCTTTCTAGCTTCATCACATAAAACCACACCCATTTAGCGCTCGATTCTGCATATAAGAGAATGTAGGCAGTCTTTGTCTTTTTTAGTCTAGCTTTCTTAGCTTTACATGATGATTTCCACATGCACTCATTTTCCTACAAATGTTAGGATTTAGTTTTTAAGATAATAAAAGTCTAATTTGTATAGGTACTATACTTTATTTGTGCGACCATTAAATTAGTACTATCCATTGGAACCTGGTGGAATCATCAATGAACATAGACTTAAAGACAATGGCTCTCTTTATGCCAAAATCTATCAGTAGCAAATAGTCCAACTGAAGAACAGACCCTACTGAGACCCTCTTCTAGCTATACTGGATTGTTAAAAGTTCCATTCTTGCACATACTTAGGGAAGGTATCCTTGCTTGCTATAAGTTTGCGGTTGCATAGCTATATCTTGCTGCCTGACATTTTATAGCCTTTCCCTGTATCAGCTCTTACATTCTTTTCCACTCTGTTTCTATTTTCAGTATCCCATGAACTATGGACAGGATGCTATAAATGTCTTATTTAGGGCTGAACACTCATCCACACATGTTCTCAGTACCCTGCAGCTATAAGTCTCTGTTTTAACCACATTTCACTGAAAAGATAAGCTTCTAGATTAAGACTGAGAGCAGTTTATCTCTGTAGGTATAAACAAATATTTAGAAAGTAGCTTGATCTATGTCAGTACTCTGTTACCTATAGAGATGATGATTTCCACAGTTAAGGGTACAGATTAGATTTATAGAAATAGACATGGATTCTCTCCAGTTGAATGGGTCTCAAATTCCATCAGAAGCTATTTATCCATGTAATGGTAGGGCCTCTATTGCACAAATGGGATCCTCTAGCTCTCCAGGTTGGTTTTTTAGGTCATAGAATTCACAGCTATGTAAGACGATTGATACTATTTGTACACCAGTAGTCTATACAGGAGCTTCTAGAACTACAAAAACTACCTGTCAGGTAAGAGGATTCAGATCCCTTTCAGTTTGACTATTTCCAGCTCCTGTGACCATTCCCACCATGGCCTTTTCTAGGTTCCTGTCTTATCCTAGTATTCTAAATTGAACACACAAAATTAGAGATTTGGAGCTGGTATCTTCATATGAAAGAGAATATGAGATGTACATGATGGATAGTGTGGTGTTGGTTTTCCTGTGCCTGGCTAGCCTTAAGTCGGGTTCTAATTTTTTAGAGACACCCATTTACCTGCAAATTTCAAAGCCTCATTTTCTTTGCAGCTGAGTAAAATCCCACTGTAGCACATTTTCTTATCTAGTCATTAGTTGGGGGACACCTAGACTGTTTCAATTCCTTGGCTATTTTGAAAAGAACAAGTAGAAATGTGGAAAAGCAATATTTCTGTAGTAGGGGATACAGTATCATTTGTGTTTGTGTCTAAGAGTAGAATAGCTGGAGTGTATGGTAGTTCTGTCTTTGACTTTTAAAGCAGTGGTTCTCAGCCTGTGGGTTGTAACCTTTTGGGGATCAAATGACCCTTTTACAAGAGCCAAATATCCTGCATATTGGATATTTACATTATGATTCATAAAAGTAGCAAATTATAATTATGAAGTAGGACCAAAACCAATTTTATAGTTGGGGTCATCACAACATGAGAAACTGCATTAAACGGTCACAGCATTAGAAAAGTTGAGAAACACTGTTCTAGAAGAATCTCCACACCAATTTTCTTTTTTTTTGTTTTTTTTTATTTTTTTTTTTACCAATTTTCTTAATGACTACAAAAGTTCACATTTCTACCAACAGCAAATCCTATTTTCACAAATCGTTGCCAGCATTTGTTTTCATTTGGTTTCTTGATGATGGCCATTCTGACTAGGGATGAACAGAATCTCAGAACAGTTTTACAATTTGCATTTCTCTGATGGCTAGTGATAAATACTCTTCAAAAGTGTTTATTAAGCATTGATATTTATTACTTTGAGAATTCTCTGTTCAGACCTATAGCTCATTTTAATTGGTTTTTTATTTCCTTGTTTATTTAGTTTTTCATGTATTCTAGACATTAATCCTTTTGAAGATATATAGCTGACAAAAGAATTGTTTCCATCTATAAGTTGCCTCTTCATCATATTGACTGTGGCACAGAAGATTTTTAGTTTCATGAGCATCCATTTGTCAATCTCTAGCCTTATTTCTGAGTGACTGTAGGTCTAATTACAACATTCTTACCTATTCCTGTTTGTTGTAGTCTGCTCCCTCCAATCTCTCCTAGCAGTTACAGAATACCATATAGTGGTTATTTTTAACAGGGAAGGTCTAGTTTCATTATTATGCATATAGACATTTAGTTTTCCCAAAACTAATTGTTGACAATGATGTCTTTCCTCCAGCGTGCATGCTTGTCAAAAATCAGATGTTGGTAGTTGAATGGACTTCTAGTTGGGACTCTTAGATTGTTTCATTGATATCTCTCTCCTTTTCTCCCTCTGGGTGTGTGTGTGTGTGCGTGCTTGTGTGTGTGCCTGTGTGCACACGCATCCATGGGTGCATGTTACTACAATACTCCTTAGTACTATAATTCTGTTAAATAACTTGATATCTGGTATAATAATGTCTCTCTTCTTTTTGCTCAGGATTTCCTTGGCCCTCCAGTGTCTTTTATGTCTCTATATTTATTTTAGGATTTTTAAAAATTTCTGTGAATAATAGCATGGGGATTTTGATTAGGATTGAATGAATCTGTAAATTTTTTGGTAGGATTATCATTTTAAAATTATTATAACAGTCCATAAGCATAGGAAAACTTTCCATCTTCTAATGGATTCATAAGGTGTCATTTATTTATTTATTTTGGTTTTTCCAGACCGGTTTCTCTGTAGCTTTGGAGCCTGTCCTGGAACCAGCTCTTGTAGACCAGGCTGGCCTCAGACTCACAGAGATCCGCCTGCCTCTGCCTCCCTAGTGCTGGGATTAAAGGCATGTGCCACCACCACCTGGCAAATTTTAAAGATTCCATTGTAGAAGTTCTTCACCTCCTTGATTAGGTTTATTCTGAGGGTTTTTTTTAAAGGCTCTTACAAATAGAATTATTTCTGTGATTTCTTCCTCAGTGTGTTTCATTTTGGTATATAGATAAACTTTTGATGTTTATTTTTAATCCTGACACTTTGTAGGAAGTATAAATTTTAGTTCTAGGAGTTTTCTGGTTGACTCTTTAGTGTTTCTTATATGTAACATCATATTATCCAAAACCAAGTTTGCTTTGAGTTATTTTCCTATTTGAACTTCTTCTCATCATAATGGTCTAGCAAGACATTATATATTTTATTGAACAGTAGTGGAGACAGTGGACAACTTAGTCTTCCTGATTTTAATGATATTACATTGAGGTTTTCTCCATTAAGATGATACTAACTTTGGATCTGTCACATGTAGTTCTTACACATAAATGCACATTCATGCCAACCTTATTTTCTATGAAACTTCTCTCATGAAAGAAAGTTGAATTTAGTCAAAGTACTTTCTGAATCTACTGATGACTATATGAGTTTTGTTTTTTTAAGTTCAAAGAAAGAAAGGGTACAGTCAATGTGAGAACTCAGGGAGGGCAGGTGAGGAGTTGGGAACTCTAGGGAAGAAGAAGAAGAACCTACTTAGAGACTAGGTCTGCTCAGGGTCCTAGAAAAGACCAGCAGTGAGTTTGGTGGTCAAGAGAGAAGAAATAAAAAGGGACTGCCTAGTGGCAGGGGGTTCTGAGAATGGGCCAAGGGGAAACTGGGTGGTTTAAGGGTAAGAAGGTAAGGAGTTTACCTGGAGGCAAGAGTGGCAGTGGAGTCCTGAGGAAAGGCAGGCTTGTCATTGGGCAGCCTATGGGAGGAGAGAGGGTCCTACTGTAGTGGAATTTCATCTGTATTTTAATAAATAATGTTTGTCTGAGGATCAGAAAAGTAAAACAGCCACACTAGCCAGCCTCAGACCAAACAACAATGACACACACCTTTAATCCCAATAGCCACACTAGCTCATCATAGAAACCAGTGTTAGTGGTGTATGCTCTTAATTCCAGAACTAGAGAGGATTATAAGACAGGAGGGGACAGCTCTCAGTCTTGGTCTTATTCTGGGATTCCTGGAGACTAACCTCAGAGAAGCTGGGTAAAAAGAAGGACTCTAAGAGGGGCACACATGGAGGGCCCCATGAAGGGAAAATAGTGAAGATCACCTGGGTTAACTGAGAGTGGGTGAGAACTCTCACATCTTGATTAACCCATTGCTATTAATGTATGTAGCACCACAAGGTGGTGCTTA